AATCCCCTCCAGAAACATACTGAAGATATGCGACCGCCCCGTATCCCGACTCGGAGGCGTCAGAAAACAGATGCAGAACTGAAGCCGTATTGCCACCCTTGATGTGCTTAAGACACCTTGGCACTGATAGAGTTTCAACTGTTGCCAATTCTGACTTCCACTTCTCCCAGATTAATTGGAGGGATGCGTCAATTGGTTCATCCCAGCCGCAGTTGCTTTGGCATAGTTCTTGTAGCATACGCTTTGGCCGGAGAAGCAATGGGGCAATAAACCCCAGTGGATCATATAGTGAAGCTGTGCAGGAAAGAATACCTCGTCTAGTAGCCGGACGATTAGGAAGATTCACCTTAAATGTAAAGCAATCGTTCTTTGTGTGCCAATACAAACCGAGAGTTTTTTGAATCATCGAATCCGTGGGACTAAGAGTGACTAGAGAGGGGGCCTTCTCGCTTGGTGCAATAGAATTCAGTACAGTCTCATTGTTGCAAACCCATTTATGAAGTCGAAATCCTCCACGCATTAGAAGACTCTGGAGCTGTTTCACTAGCATTATGGCTTCACTCACATTTTCTACGGATACCAAGCAGTCATCGACATAGAAGTTGCGTTCGATGACTTTCACTGTTTTCAGGTCAAAACACTTCCCATGATCGTGTGCAACTTGCTTGAAGGCGAATGCGCCACAAAATGGGTAAGAGGTTGCTCCGAAAGGGTGCACGTTTAGTTGTTACTGATTTGGCGACGCATGGAGATTCCCAGACGGATACCAAAGCAAGCTCATCGGAGCTCTGTCCTCAGGAGCTAAACGTGCTTGCAATAACATTTCTTCTATATCTACCGCAAGAGTTATTTCATGTAACCGAAATCGCATAAATACACCCATTGAGTCGTTCGTTAACACTGGACCGGAGTAGAGGCAATCATTTACAGAAGGGCCTCCGAACTTCGCCGCAAAGTCAAAAACAATTCTAACCTTATCCGGCTTTTGAGAAATCAGAACCGGGTGATGTGGGACGAAACGTACCTCGTTTGACTGATGCTTCAGTACCCTGCTAATGTAGCCCTTTTTCTCATACGTTTCTATTATTTCGGCGTATTTACACAACAGATTCGGATCTCTTTCGAGGCGTACTCGCAGGTGATTTAGTCTTTTCTCTGCCAGGTATCGATTAAAGGGTATCTCACGCCAGTTTCTGTTCCAAGGAAGACGAAGTTGATAATGATTCTCCACGACAGTTGCGGAACTTCGAACGGATTCTAGGGCCAACTTGTCCACCTGGGAGTTCGCCAAATCAACTCCTTGGTTATTCTCATCGAATTCGATTTCAAAGAGTTTGGCAATTTGCGACTGCATTATTTCCTCCGTAGCTAGACAGTTGACATATCTTGCTGCAGACCGATCCCCTCTCGCAGCCCCGAGCAGTACCCATCCTAGAAATGTTTTCAATGCGTACGGTTGTCGGGAATTTCCGATACGTTGATCTTACACCCAATACGCTTCCGGAGTGTTTGTGCCAATCAGCAGATCAACAGTTTTATTTTGGATTTTTTGGAAATGTACACCCTTTAAATGAGGCTAGCACTTCAAAATTTCGGGCGGGTCGTAAGCTGCTTGAATCGGCAATTACTCCAGCGTGTAGGCCTTCTCTACTTGCAGCTGATGATCGTCATCTAATGACTGAACCGCAAAGTTAACCTCCGAGGTTATTTTACAAGTGGTTCCGGCTAGCGAGGTCGCTCGGATTCTCGTAACTGGACCTTCAATACCCAGAGCCTCGGCGGCCGCACAGGACAACAGTGTGGCATCTGAGCCATTGTCGAGAAAGGCGTATGTTTCTTTCGACCCTTTTGGTCCGATCAACCTGACGAGCAAAAATCCCATAAAGGTATGCGGGACGTCTAACTTCACTGAATTCACATTGGTTCGCACCGAAGTATGTGAGATCTGCACACATGAAGTAAAACGTGATGACGACCTTTGCAATCAGGCTCGGTGCAGCAACTCCTTGTATTACAAACGCTAGCTCTGTGACCCGGCCTCAAACAATCAAAGCATACTCTCGCTGTTCTAGCCACATCAAACCTTTCCTCGTAACACATAGACAGAAACTTATTGCATAATTCCAGGCCGTGTTCAGCATGACAGACAGCACACCTCTCATGGAAGCGACTAGCTATCGCGTTTATTCTCCTCCTCGGTCCGTGCATGCGTTGCACATCTTCCTCCCACTTCCACGGAGATGTGATCTTAGAAGTCACTCCTTGACCGTAACAATAAGTGAAGGTCGAAAGACTTTCCTCCAAGAATACGACTAAGTGTCTGAATAGAGGTCTGAATCCGTCTCGTCTTTTTCTCAGAGCTACTTTAGCCCACTTCAATTGTAAGGACTCTGGAAGGCGCCTAACAATACCTTTTATTGTAGTGGGGCAGTTGAGGATTGACTCGTAACCCATTTCTGCTAGAGAAATCTCGCTGGTGACAACCTGCCGTACACGTTTTCGTAGACTATTGACGTCACTTGCTCTGAATCTACTCCCGCTGCACAATTCATCCAGGAGACCCTCAACGACATCATCTGGGCATCCGAACTGGTTTTCCAAAATATGCATCGCCCGCGAGTATCCTTCTGACGCGGGAAACAACACACAATCCTCAATAGCTTCCCTGGCTTCGCCAACACAAAAATTAATCAAATAACATAGTCGCTCTCTATCGTTGAGCGAGTGGCTAGCTATGTCTGCCGTGAAACTACTAAGGAACCTCCATGAACGTTTTGGAGTTTCATCAAACTCACAATCTCGACATCCGGTAGCCTGAATCGGTGATGTGTTATTACCTTTGGGAAAACGTTCCGATTCCCATCGACTGGAGCGGTTGCTTGACAGCCTTCCAGGTACGTTTCAACGGAGTCCAAATGGTTTTTCTGTGTGACCTCGGCTTGGACATGTGCTTCGGCTTCTACGTCACTAGTTTGCTGGCCGCCCAATGCTATTCATCGTTCTAAGGACAGTTGCCGCTGCCTTCATTTCAGTCTCTGCATCTCCAGCTCTATTTCCTCGGCTTCTATCTGTCGCAGCCTACTAATTTTACTGACCCACGACCGATTATTTGAGATTTCACTACCTGCCTTGTCTACATTATTAGCCATGCCAAACAATGGGGAACGGGAAGAAAACTGCTTACCTACATTGTTTTCTTCGATAGACAGGATTGAGGAAGGAGGATCGGGGTTCATATCCACCGAATGTGATATATCCAGCGGTCCAGAGTCGGTGAACCTTTCCTGTTGGTTCCTGGTCATCGGCATAGTGTAGTAGTACTGGTCCAATGCGTTCTC